CCACTAGCTTAGAGTAGACAAGAAAGTTTCGAATAAACAGTATTTATAAAATTATATGGCATACGTCCCAGAAGTGTATCCATTCATGAATGTTCGAATGGGACCAAATACAAGCAAACACAATTTTTTTACAGAGTGGATAATTTTCGGTCCAGTGTGACATACAAGTTTACAACACTTCAGTCTTTAGTTCTTTTGGCTTATTTTAGACTTCGCCCACCGTCTGGTATGTAAAAGACAAAAAACCACGACGTTTCGGAGACTGGATCTGTCTCCGTCTTCAGGTGGATAAGGTAGGATAAACCTACTCAATTGCGCCCCCTAGAAAAAGCTAGTGTCAATCACTGGACAAACCCCGGTCTGTAGAAAAACAACCTATGAACAACCGACAACCGGTTCCATCAGTGGGAGGAAAGGATAAAATCACAGTAAAAACATGATAGAAAATTTGTGCCAAGCATGCACTTGTCAACAATGTAAAGAAACAGAAGTATGGGTTATATTCCATGAATTCAGTTAAAAACGAAAGTAAAAACTGGATAAAGCATGCCTAATCTGCGTGGATAAAGAATCGTGCCACCATGGCGACTTCCGGGAATCAGACTAATCCCCGGAACAAAACTTGCAGGAGTAGTGGAACCACTAATATTCATAAAATTATATTTTTGATTTGTTAACCTCTTCATTGATGAGGGGGATCCATATGGGAGAAATATCCAAACTGGGTTGGCTGATCGGATTGGATGAACATGGCATATGAGCTGATTCTTTGTATTTTCTGTATCTGCTGTTGCTTTCAACCTCCAAGATCCTAGCTTCATCCCAGCTTACCCTGTGACCTTCTTCATATGCATGCTGAGCCAACCTGGATTTCTCTAGAAGACCCTGCTTGAGATTGTGCTTGTGTTCACGGATTCGAACAGCCAGTGGTCTGCCTGTTTCACCAATGTAGCTTCAGCCACATTGACAGGGAATGCTATAGACGCACTGTGNTGTTGAGGTGTGTAAGGAAGTTCTGTATCCCCTCTGCACCATGCGGCCAGATCACAAATGTGTCGTCCACATATCGGAGCCACAACGACGGTTTGTCCTGCGCTGAGTCGATAGCCAGTTGTTCAAAATGTTCCATGTAGATGTTGCTAACAACGGGAGAAAGGGAGCTACCCATTGCCATGCCATCCTTCTGCTGGTAGAATCCGTCGTTCCCTTGAAAGTAGGTGGTCCTCAGGCAGACATCCAGCAGTTCCATGATGGCTTCCACCTTCAGGACAGACCGTTCTTCCAACGTGTTATCGTTACTCAGCCTGCTTCTGATGACCTGAAGGGCTTCGTCGACTGGTACGTCGGTGAAAAGACTAACAACATCGAAACTGGCGAGCATATCCTGTCTACGGAGATTAACAGACTTTAACCGTTCTATGAAATGGCCGGAATTCTTCACGAAGGAACCAGATCTGCCAGCCAGAGGGCTAAGTATTTCTTGTAGGAAGTCTTTATTCACCTTACATGTTTCTATTCAAAAGAATCATCCTCAGAGGCGCAGCGCTACGATCAGGAAACACTGTCACATAAGATGTTTTAACATTATGCACTTAAGCTATGAATAATGCTCACTATATAAATTTTGTTATTATCACGGTTGGTTTTGGTGTTTGCCTTAAGCATTCACGATGACGCTTCTTGAAGTGTAGATTTACGTATGATGCTGTTTCTTTTAAGCGTATTTGTTGGGTATTCTGATTGGGATTTTCCACTGCACGCGATATGATGTTCACTTTTCCATATAGTAGCTTCCCTATGTCCATGATGTTCTCCACCATCAGGAGGAAAACATGACCCAATGTCGGCTCACGATATTTTAACATAATAACTAATTTTTTACATGCAAAAGAAAATTTTAATACAATTTTAAATACATTGGGAGGCTAATGTATGAAAAGTGAATATCATATTGCGTGCAGTGGAAAATCCCAGTCACAATACCCAACAAATACGCCTAAAAGAAACAGCATCATACGTAAGTCTACTCTTCAAGAAGCGTCTTCGTGAATGCTTAAGGCAAACACCAAAACCAACTGGGATAATAACAAAATGTATATAGTGAGAATTATTCATAGCTTAAGTGCATATGGTTAAAACATCTTATGTGACAGTGTTTCCTGATCGTAGCGCTGCGCCTCTGAGGATCATTCTTTTGAATCGAAACATGTAGAGTGAAAAAGACTGAAGTGTTGTAAACTTGTATGTCACACTGGACCGAAAATTATCCACTCTGTAATTAGTAGTGTGACGGAACAAAATGAGACAAATCAAAACAGTTTTCTTGCTACTAACTTACCGCCTGGCAGCACCATAGCTCAAGCGGTTAGTCGCTGGCTTCCCACCGCGGCGGCCCGGGTTCGATTCCGGGGTCTGGTCAAGTGCGATTTGTGGTGGACAAAGAGGCGCTGGGGCAGGTTTTCTCCGAGTAATTCGGTTTCCACCAATTGCTCCAAAATCAGCCTCACCTATCATGTGGGGCTAGTACAATAGGCCAGAAGTGGCCGCAGTACAAGGGACTTAGTCCCACCCCACTAGCAATAAAAGAAACTTACCGCCTTGCAAGACTTCACTTCCCGTCCCACACTCACTTGAGGTTTGACCCTGTTATTATAGATGTGACCTTCAGGTCACTGTAAGTCATGTTCCCGTGTGTAATTCCCAGTAAGTCTGCGGTCTTGTCTATGCTCAGACAAAAGGTCGATTTGGGTCAACAGCCAGAGGAAAATAACGCGTCATCATTTCGAAAATTATTACCCCAATAAAAATTTGTAGTATTGCCTTTCCATAACACGTCACAGAGCTGAAAAAGAACGACTATTGCAGACTGGGGTCTTGAAACGTTGCGTGCTGTGAATTATATAAATTCTCCTTGTTATTTTGAGGTATTCTAACATCGACAGAGGTCATTTACAGTACTTTGTAATGCCATAAAACGAATATATAAAGCGAACTGTTAAGGACTGCGGCCATGGCATATGGGGGGGGGGTCCTATCGCGATCTTGCAGCAGAATTGAAGTCTTTTAAACGAACATCGCAGTCCATTGGCCAGCACACCTGCTGCTTATTCGGCAGGTACTGCTTTCGTAGTTTACCTCAGTTCCTCCAGCCAAATTCTGACATTGTACCCGTTTAATTCAACACATTTCAGAATCGTTGTCAGTAGTCATGGGATCATAGGACAGCATGACATATGCAGACTTTGTTTAATAAGCTAAGAATTCAAATAAGTTGTTTTGATCTATGAATATGTGTAAATATTTCTGGACTAGCTCAATTCGATGGTCACTGAATGCGCTTCAGTAATTCCGTACGCCCCGAAGCCTTTTCTGCTGAGCTGCATGGGAAGGTGCTTGGACACAGCTAGTAAGAAATTAACGTGTTGCCCCGGCTTCAGGGACCAGGCCACGTCTGTCTTCCACCACCTCGTGTCCTGAACCCGGGTCGCTGAAACATCTCTTAGCAGAACTGTGTTGTTCTTTCTTTCATTAATTGTGTGGTCACTGACATATTTTCTTGTCACCTCCTTTCACTAACCGTATAGACCCTCCAAACTTTAACGGATAGAGGGTGTCACGTGGTCAGCGCAACGGATCCCCACGGCCGTTAATGTTGGTTTTCTAGACCGGAGAAACTATTTCCTTGAAATAGCTCCTCAGTTATCCTCACGAGGCTGTGAGGACCCCGTTCCAGACCCACGACTTACCAGAAAATGTGGTAGCGCCGGGAATCGAACCCGGGACCTCTGGATATGTAGCCAGGAACTCTGACAACTAGACCACAGAGGAGGCCTGGAAAATGTGGCAGCCTCGACGTCTCACAACCCTATGGGCCTCCACGGCCCGTTACAGGGATAGCTTTATCTTTACCTTACTCATTGTGTTCTGCACGTTTAGGATAAAGCCACCCGAGTTGAACGACCGAGGAACCGGGATCAGATTTCTGGAAGGTGCACAACGTTCAGACAGTCTCTGGGTCCCAGCCAGCCACCTGTGCAATGGATACGGGAGGGCGGTCTTTCCACAGGGACAAAGCGGCCGGAGTGTGAACCTGACCGCTCGCCATCACGTGCGGAGGCGAAAAATGCCTGGAATTTACATTCACTCCGCAACTAACTTCGTTGACAAGCGGCGGTCACTCGGTCGGTATAGTTCACTTGCGGACTACAGGCCACGGAGTTTCCTTTATATAGACCTTCCCTGTTCATCCAGTCACGGCGTAACCTCTGACACACTGCGTAACGCGAGAGCCATACCACAGCTATCATACCTGTCCTTACGTCTTTAACCCTGAAGCACTACACCATGAAGGCGTATGAGGCAGTGGGTGATAGATCCAAATTTTCTTGACCTCGGCCCTAGTTGGAGGTGAGTGATCAGCTTCACGCCCCGGCCGCTTTACGCCCGAGCAAAGAGCCCCCGGTACCCATTGGATAGGAGGTTGGGTGGACCCCAGAGCCGGTCTGGACAAAGTGGAGAAGAGAAATTCTTGAACCTACCGCGACTCGAACTCCGACCCCTTGGTCGTCCAGCCCGTAGCTAGTCGTTATACCGACTACGCTATCCCGGCTCACAACCCTGAAAATGGTAACAACAAGATTTGCCGAAACGTTGGACAAACCTCCAACATTCGAAGCGGCCTAGTCCCAAAAACCGAAGCCACATGTTGAGCTCCAGCCGCGAGACTATGGACTGGAATAATGAAGAAATTGTACACGGAAATTGAAAACGGCTGGCATTGTTATGGTGTCAAAATGTTATTTGTCTTACTACGTTTAACCATATATTCTCTTCCTGTGAGCAGACCATTTTGCTTATGGACTGTACAGCCCTTTAATAACGACAGTGACCTCATGAACAGCCAAAAATAAAATGTAAAACTCTCTCTATTTCGGCGCACAGAAAGCGGTGAACAGAAGCTGTTGAACAGCTGGCTAAGAAAATTAAGTACTTGTACTTACCGAAAATACTAATTAGTAGGCATGTCTGGGCAAGCCCAGAGCTGACTATATAATGACCCGTGATGTCACCAGCACAAGAGGCTGACAGATACTGACCAGCATTCTGGTGTAGCAGCAGTGCGGGATGGCAAGGCTATTACATCGACCACTGATACGTAGCTTATCAGCATCGGATTCATACAGGCGTCATACGCACGTAAAATGGAATATTTTGTGTTTGTCTGACAGAAAAGGATTTTATTTCTCCGATATGAATAGAAGTGCCAACTTAGCGGAGAGAGGGTGTCGCGTGGTCAGGGCAACGACTGCCCACGGCCGTTAATTTCGGCTTTCTAGACCGGAGCCGCTACTTCCTTGAAATTGCTCCTCGGTTATCGTCACGAGGCTGAGTGGACCCCGTTCCAGACCCACTACTTCTCAGAAAATCTGATAGCGCCGGGAATCGAACCTGGACCTCTGGATCTGTAGCCAGGAACCCTGACCACTAGAACACAGATTGGCAGTAACTTCGCTGACAAGCGGCGGTCTCTCGGTCGGTATAGTTCGCTTGCGGACTAAAACCACGGAGTTTCTTTTTTTGTTCTTGTTTATTACATGATTAGAAACAGTGGATTTTACTTGAAAGGAAGGAGAGCGTTTGTGTAACGTTGTGTGTGCATCCACTTCCCAACTCATGCTAATAGTGTATGGACAAACGTAGCGATTTTTATTAAATTCAGTATGGAAGATTTTCTTGTGTGGTTTATTGTATGACGTTGTTAGTATTCCAGACTATATAGCATCGAGTGGTAGGACGAATTGGAACTAACCTGTTTAGAATGGAAAATATTTAAGCTTGATGTATATGTATATGTACTATACGAATGAAATAGAACACGCATGTCCGAACTCTCCCTAACACTTCTTCCCTGTTCGTCGACTCGTCAACACGGCAGGGAACGTGAAGCATTCTAACAAATTCAGCATTGTTCCCACCTTTGTGAATGCAGACGAAGCTTGATGCTAGCATGTACATTTGTTTCTTCTGTATAAGCTCCAGAATATTTTCGTCTGTCTTTTGTCGTTCATGCTTGAACAATGACAACAGTGATTCCGATCTTTTCTTGGATTCCGATGACCCGTAACCTAACAGCTGGTCGATTTCTGTCTCCGTAAATGTAATTTACTTACTCATGGAGCTGAACACTTCTGGAGGAGCCGCCAATTCTGCTGCTACTCAAGAATTTCCCAGCATTTTATGGAACCCGAGGTTAATTACCGTGTTCACAAGAGCCCTCCACTGGTCCCTATCCGAGCTAGATCAATCCAATCAATACCATCCCATCCTATCTCTCTAATATACATTTTAATATTGTCCATCTGCATATGCCTTAGTCTTCCCAGTGGTCTCTTTCCTTCTGGCTTTCCCACCAATATCCTATACGCATTCCTCGTCTCCCCATTCGTGCTACATGCCCGTCTCCCCATTCGTGCTACATGCCCTGCCCACCTCATCCTCCTCGACTTTATCATTCTATTTATACTTGGAGAAGAGTACAAGTTATGAAGCTCCTCATTATGCAGTTTTCTCCAACCTCCTGTCACTTCATCTCTCTTCGGTCTAAATATTCTCCTCAGCACCCTGTTCTCAAACACCCTCAGTCTATGTTACTCCCTTAATATCAGAGACCACGTTTCACACCCATACAGAAGCACAGGCAACATTATAGTTTTGTATATTCTAATTTTTGTGTAGTTTATACAATTAATTTGTAAGGTCCCATAAACTTATTCATTCGTTGTATTCTGATATTAAAGGGTCTGCAGTATCGTTTGACGACTCCATGATAGAAAATTGGCGTCATTTAGTAGAAAGAGAAAGTGGAGGAAATTACTGAATGAGAAGGAAGCATGCGCAGAGAAGCGTAACGGCTAACATTTCCTGTCCGCACTGCGCATACTGATGTACCTTTCTGCCAGTGAAACGGACCGAAGGAGAACGAGCCGTTCGTTCGCCTTCGTTAACATCGTACAAATTCAGGCGTTCGCCCATCTTCGTTTGTTCACGTTCGCATAGTGTGTATCCACCATTGGAGGCGTTACATATCACTGCCATTGCAGTGAGATCAGGATGGTGACCACATCAAACTCTGATCCACACCAGCTATACAGTTCTGATCATCTGCTGTAAGACAGATCGCCTGAAAGTATAAACGTTTTATAAGTTGGTAAGGTGCACTCGTGCCACGCAACATAAATCAGGCATTTTCGGCTAGTACAAAAGTAACGTTTCTGAGTCGTTTTCGGGAAGTACCCGGTTAAAATCGTGATGGGGAAACCGAGGTTTCTCATAGTTGTAGTTGGGCGAAGCGTTCTTTTCCGTCCTTTGAAACTGACACCACATAATCAATCTCGCTAAATGACCTGCCCACTTGATTCAAAGTATTTAATAATCCACGACTTGACACTGGAATTCCACATTACTGACAGGAATATGGGGAAATAACACGATATTAAAATGGATATTAAGGAAATGTGTTCTTGAACTGAATTAGCCAATACACATAACCGGGATCAGTGATAAACTCCTCTGTAAGTTGTTCTGAATTGTCAGGTTCTACAACCGTACCAAACAAGCTAGATAAACTCTTCTGTAAGTTGTTCTGAATTGTCAAGTTCTACAACCGTACCAAACAAGCTAGATAAACTCTTCTGTAAGTTGTTCTGAATTGTCAGGTTCTACAACCGTACCAAACAAGCTAGATAAACTCTTCTGTAAGTTGTTCTGAATTGTCAAGTTCTACAACAGTACCAAACAAGCTAGGTACACCCTAATTTTATCAGCCATTCAGTCAGTTTCTCATCAACTCAGTCCATGGTATTACTCCTCATATTCTATGCAACTGGAAAGACTTATTTTATAGCTCCTGACTTTCTTATTTTCTAGTTTCCTTTAGCCAATAAATGGTTTGGAAAACGGTTTCGATTTTCTTCTGGGTTCTGATGCAGTGGAAGATGATTCCGAGTAGAAGTTACTGCGAAACGTCGGAAGTCGCTTCCATTGCTATATAAAAAAAAGTAAAGTAAAGCTATCCCAGTACCAGGCCGTGAAGGCCCATAGGGTTGTGAGACGTTAAGGGTCCGACATTACCTTGACAATCGGCTCAAAGATGGCGGTAAGTTTGTCAGCCTTAAGCGCCGGCCGCGCTTCACTCCCCAGGAAAATTATTTAATTAAATCCTGGTACTCATTTCTGTTAGAGGCTGAGTAAACCCCAGGGCCTAGTGCGGCCGGAATGATTAGGTCAATTGAAAAATATCCAATGAACTCATCGGGACTTGAACCCGCGACCTTCCGGCTTGTAGCCTAGTGCCTTAACCACTACGCTACCGCGTATCCCCCTCCATTGCTATAATCAGATGAAAAAAGTCCGAAAGTTCTACTTGGATCGCCGAGATCTTGAAATCGTGTATTAAAAGGTTTTATTGAACATTACGATTACCCCCTCTCCACTTTGCGCCATTTAATGGCGTGCCCGCCGTAGTGCCAGAGAGAACATGGAGTCTTGGTGTCGGTCGCTCCATTACACAGAACTAGGGAGGCTGGAAGTGTTCTAAGCCCCAGATCCCTGGAACATGGATACATATGTGTAACGATTTAGATTATTTCATGCGCTCTCGAGCATAGTTTTAATTGCAGATGTGAATTGTACGAAATTATGAGGTCTCTCTGGTTTTAATACTTAAAGGCATCCAATTGTATTATTTAGATGAGGGTGTATTAATTGTAACTGATTTCCACACCATCTTTCTTGTGTGCACAGTGTGACACAGAGGCAGATCCTTCCAAAACTCACAGTTGTTTATTGGCCGGTGGTGGAGAGAAAGTGGACCGCCTCTGTGGTCTAGTGGTCAGAGTTCCTGGCTACGGATCCAGAGGTCCGGGTTCGATTCCCGGCGCTACCAGATTCTTTCTGAGAAGTTGTGGGTCTGGAACGGGGTCCACTCAGCCTCGTGATGATAATTGAGGAGCTATTTCAAGGAAATAGCGGCTCCAGCCTAGAAAACCGAAATTAACGGCCGTAGGGATTCGTTGCGCTGACCACGCGATACCCTCTATCCGCTGAAGTTGGCACTGAACTTCACCGACAAGAGGCGGTCGCTCGGTCGGTATAGTTCGCTTGCGGACTAAAGTCACGGAGTTTTTTTTTTTGATCCAGAGAAAGTTGAGAAAAACATGTGTATCACGTTTGAAAGGCGCCTCAGTAACAAGATGGCGATTGATAGGTGCTTTGTTAATCACACAACCAACACGGATTTACAGCGTCTTGCACTCGAGACCGTTTGACCACTTCTCCTATATGTAACCGCCAAGTACCGTAATTGCATTGGCAATTATGGAGCTAGCCATGGAGGACATGCCTTAGATAAATTAGTTTGATGTTTCTTAATGTTTTCTGATTACTGTGATAGGCCTATTGCGGACAGCCTACACCAGCTGACTCGGCCTTGGCAGCAATATGAGTAGTGAGACTAAGCAGTTACAGCTTTCAAGCAGATATGCGTTTGCTATAAAGTGGACGTGAGTTTTGCATTTGTCGCATACTTAGGTATGTATCAAAAAAGAAATTGATGCTCAAGAATTAGTTTTGGGATGGGTCCGCTAAGAACACGGGGTGGTTCTCATTTTGGCAGTGACAGGAAAACATTCGACCGTTTGGGGGGCATTATATAGGCTTATAAAGAGTACACAATCTGCAACAAAACAAACATAAAATTGAGATCACCAGCCAAACTCAGTATGTTGCATATAGATACTTTAGCCTGGAAGGCCAAATAAGTCCCAAATTGTTAATAAAATGGCCTCAGCTTGTTATGCACTGAGAAATATAAGACATATAGTATCAACAGAAGGATTAAAATTGAGTTATTTCGTCTTAGCCCATTCTGTTATCAGCTATGGAATAATATTTTGTGGCAGTGCAACCAGTGTACATAAAGTATTCATAATGCAGAAAAGAATTGTTAGAATCATAACCAACACTAAACCTAGAGTCATGCCGGAAGATTTTTAAGATGATGGGAATAATGACACTATACTGACAATATATATATTCATTACTTTTATTTATAAGGAAT